TGCGATGTGTTAAACTAAACAAGACATTGTCTGTATTGACAAGATTAGTCAACTGTATACATTGTCCACTAGACAGTGGTTAAATTACCATATAAGTAGTCTACGCAAGTTTCGCCTCCCATCGGGGGCATAGAAAGTCATCTGGACAAACAAACAGACCCAGTAGGTGTGGATTAGCATCACAAATGTAAACGGATGGCTGCTTTCGCGGGAATTGTACAAATACTTACGCTTTTGTGGTTAAAACTGAATTTTAAAGTAAAAGTTATGGTGATACAAGACTTTAAACATTAGTTACAAGTATTACTACACTACATCAGCAAGTGACAGTCTACGTCTTAATAAAGGTATCGGTGGCATTTCATGGTCATAGTAACTAAACTATGACCTAAAGGGAATTTGCCAGGACACATATTTTTGATTGCAGGCTACAAAGTGACTGGCTACAATGAAAGATAGGAACAATATTTGATGTAGAATTTGTAAAATTGGAAATTCAGAAGTCCTACTTCACTCCACAATTTAGTTCCATAAATAATAATGAATGTTAGTGACCCAGCAAAAGTACTAACATGTATAAATATAAACGTTGCAGACTACAGTAACACACACACCATGAACTAAGGCTTCGTTCTTGGGCGTTCCCATGACGACTGCACAGTTAGCAGCGTGACTGTCATTGTCATCTATCGACTAGCGCATACGTATAGTTAAGGAAAGTTTTGGTATTCTAAACTTTACCCCCTAGTAGTAGAAACGTAGGCGACGGCAAAGATTAAGTTAGCATCAAAGGTTTTATACTTCCCAGTGCTGTTTAGTGGAAACATAAAGTTAGCTCTAATTGGACATTAATGAGAAGTTACGGCTTCATAATGTCAATGAGAAACGAAGTAAATCATTTTGCAGGAGAGAATGAATGACTTGACTTAACAACAGAATGTCCTCACATTATTATATATGCAGTTATACTGGTACAGACAAGATTTCCTACTCCGCTTGTGATATCCTCAATCACCAAACCAGGACTTCAATGGGATGACGCCATAATAATGCGGTTGTGATGTAACCAAAGGAGGTAAAGCGAATTGTGCAGCCATAATAATCTCCGGCTCCGTGAATGTCAAAATCAGATTTTCACAAACGAAAGTGGAAAAGTTGCAGATCTTTAACGCAAAGTGTTGCTAAAGCCTTGTTGCAGTATTTGCCTGTTTGGGTATAATATCCACAAGAAAACATAGGAAGCAACGTGCGCTCGTTTCGTTAAAAGAGCGTATTCTATTTCAGTGTTATAACACGTGTTTCCGTATTCTGATGGAAGGCAAGTAAATAAACTGTCTACGACTTAGCCTATACGAGACATGTAATACCAAATTACAAATACGGTAGAATAAAAATTCATTTGACAAGATAGTTTTTTTTATAATATCAAGTGACAGTACGAACATATCGTGCTTCTGATGGTCAGCTACACGCCTGTCTATAACAGTCGCAGTGCCACTTAGAGCTTTAAAATCACAAAAATCTGACGGGCTCTGCCACTGAGACCTTCACCCTGAGACATAAGTTGACAAGTCCCACGTGCCTGTAATCTCACCAGCACACTTACCCTTCTAAACAGGAACGCAGTAATGCTAACATTACTGCTGGCAGCAGAAATAGGTAAGATTGCAGTACTTTCCTGGACGAACTCTTTTACAAGGAGCGCTACTGCTGCTGCTACTGCAGTTCAGATGTTGTAATAATGGCTAGGGGTGTAGGCACATAATTGTAATGAAACGTTGAGCAACTCTCTTTTAATGTCATATTCTCTTAACAAACGTTCACATTTCTTCGGCCGAGTGTCGAACAATCAACAACTCCTGGAAGCCTCGTAGAGGCGAAACACGTGTCGAGTATATTTTTAGTGGTGATGTTTGTAATTGTAGTTGCGTTTATGTTATTTTATTTATTATGCGGTGGGAGTGACTACATAAAAAAGTATTAAACAAAAAACTATATATAATATACTTAATGCCAAAATTTTAATAACGTAATTTATATGAAATGGTTAAAATAGACGTAAAATAGATAACATTGAAATAAATAAATTGTTTTATAAAAGACATAGTTATATCGTAGAATCATGATGTATTTTAGAAATGTTTACTATGCAAAATTTAGGGTCAAAACTGGAGCATGGAAATTGGCATTTAGATTCAAATCGTCAATTCTTCGGCGACAGCTGAAGCTATAATAACTGTGCGTTTTGTAGGTGTACACTTTGTATTATACATTTTACAGTTTATTATAATAGTTTAATTTTAAAATATAGAATGGCAATGCCATACACAAGAATAGCTTTTTGCTGACAAGTAGACTACACATATACATGGTTTTATGTAGTAAATTCATCATAACGGTATTCACGATAGCCGTGAAGATGCTCCACGTTAGCAATCGTGACGATAGATACGTTTTTTAGCTATTCATTGACAGGTAATCGAAAATTTAAAATGAGTGTGCAGCAATTTTTTGCTTACGCGACAACGAAGACTTGTCTATCAAGGAATGGTATCATTTTAGTTTATATTGTATAACGAGCTTTGTTTGAAAAAAGCTGGCCAATGGAAAAGTCTGGTAGGTTTTATATATGTATTTATAAATGTGAAAATTTTAGCTAGTGATCTTATCTTATTACCAAATTTGGTTTCCTGTAACCAAATGCGCATGGTCAATTGAATAATAATTTAAGTAAAAACTGTCCTAATTTTGATGAGATGTACAGATTTTTAGCGACCTCAGTGGCCCAACGGTTTGCACCTGGATGTGGAGGTATCGGGTTCGATTCTCACAGGACCAATTTTGGAAATGAACTTTTCTAAATTGGGTATGGTCTGAGTGCTCAGGGTAGGGTCCTGGAGTGAATTGCGTTGCTCTGGTACTTAATATTACAATCCCTAGTATGGGACCAGGTAATTGGTGTGGTTGTCTGGCACATTGTTATTATTTATTTATTTTTGCATGCAATGAATCAATCTACATTAAAAATAATTTATTTACAGGGTTATCTCTGTTCCTTAGATTTCAGATGACCTTGTATATAACTCAAGTAGTCCAAGGTGCCAACTGAACACGCTAGCGTCAACAATGTCGTGATCACCGATTTTACGGCTACACCTCACAGCATATGTGTGACGTTTTGACGTTTGTCACACAGTCAAATAGTGTTCCCAATTTGTAACATGAATTATTGATTACTTTGGAAGTAATTGTTTCAATTGAACTATAGAATTTATACATTCCATTCAATTCAGTATTCTTTATGGCAACCATAAATAAATACATGAGAAATAAACAGAACAGCTACAAACAAGCTGGCTGTGGCAAGTACTTTATATTTATCTTTGATTTCTATTGAATATCAAGTGGCTTGAACACAGGTTTTCATGGTGTCGGCATCATTGACGTTCCAGGTTCATTCTCCAGATGGGGCAATGTAGAATAACTAATTTTTCAATATTGTCTCAGGTAGGCTGTTTGTGGTACCGTTGTTGTTTTCGATTTCTATAGCACAAGTGCTTTACTTATTTACTTTGGGATCAGAGCAACATATGTGATGTTGTCTAATATATATTTATTTAATTTTAAGATGACAACTGATTTGTGTTACAAAGGAGTTTACTTTTTTATTTATTATTAAATTATGATTTATATTTCCAAATAGTGAATTCCTAGCAAGCCAAGAGATATTTTTCATAAAATAAAAATATAATTTAATGCAATATGTTGAGTATATGTATATTTAGATCTACCAAAACTAAGTTTGTTGGATTTCAATTAACTATTTCTATGGTATTCTTTGATTGTTTATAAAATACCTATAAAAAATGTTTATATTTTACTTTAACAAAAAGTAAGTAAAAAGGAGGTCAAAAACTTACTAATCAGTAAATTCCGAGTCTATGAACTGAAATAGTTGGAACATAGAAACTTGCAATGGGCAATTTGCCAGAATGGGTCAACAGCCCATTACGTTTATTGGCATGTATGTTTGAAATCTGCAGACAGGTATAAAATATATTTGGATGTATATATTACAGATTTCTTTACATAATCTATCTAAGATGGATATATTGTAGAATGAAGTGACACAAATACAATTAACATTCTTTAAAAAAAAATAAACTGAAGTATAAAATTTTATTGCGCTATTTATATACCAAAATCCTCAAAATTGCAATTTAAATTTTGTGCAATACACGTTGATACAGCAAAATTAATTTAAGATTCTAATTCAAATCAAGTTCACAGATTTGCTAATTTATGCTGATTAGGTATATAATTTAATGTAGTTTTTAATAAAATTAACAGTAAGAAATTTATCATGACTAATGACAGTACCTAATTTAATAACATCCATGTATAAAACACACCGTATAGGAACTTCATATAAAAATAGAATAGAAAATATTATTTCTGCGAAAGTAGCACAGTCGTCCATCTGTCCCTGTTTGCAGCTCACTGTTGCTACTGTGTTATTTTTAATTCAGAGCACTTTTGCCATGTGTCTTGTTATAAAATGATCTTGTTTGTTTTAAATATTCTAAGCAGATGCTGCTATACACATTATGAATCCGTTTCAAATTTTTCACACATCATTGAATGTACTAGCCAGATTTATCTCATTTAGTATGACCTATAAATAGGTACCAGTATTGCCCTGGAGACGATAACGTGCCGTCGGTGTGTGATAATGAGCTGCACACACCCGTTGCAAGTCAGCTGAGCTTATACGTAATAATGTAAACATTTCGGAGGATTACAAACTACACCTGCACGAGCAACAGGTGAAACTTAAATCTCGCTGCGGCCGGCCAGCCGCCACTGAGATAACCCAACCAATGCGACACAAATCCTGTCAAAAAAACCCACAATCACACGACACTTCGTTGGCAAAGTTCTTGAAAACACCATCCCCACAAGAACACACAACACGTAAGGTAACATAAAACGATAAATACCTTTTCTTTCGCCCGTCCGGCATGTTTTTGCACTGTTTTCGCAAGTAACGCACTTTTACTTTCAGCCATTTCAATCACTTTTTCATAACCAATTGTCTTTATTTTGATACACTGTCAATCTGCAACCAAAATTGGTTGCAGTTCTTCGTCGTCACACGTCAAAATCCAAATGCGTTGCTGTTACCGTACCGCACTGGCGCGAGTGAGAAAGAAAAATGCCACCCTAGCGCTCCTTTCTTGTGAGTAATTGTGAGCGAGATCTCGTAAAAATAAAACTTGGTAGTTAGCTATTGTATTAACAGATGGCGTTTTAACAATTTTTTTTTTTTCATGGCTTTGCGAAGAGCAATTAGCCAATATCAAAGTTAGGGAAACAAGAATAATGGAAAAACAGAACGGACCCGAATTTGGAATAGGAAAAAGGATGTGGTTTTGTAAACTATAATAATACATAAACTTAATGCTATCAAAGATTGATATCATTTTTATTAATAAATAAGGTTAATGTTTTATATATTTTATGATCAATGTTATGTAATAAACAAATAATGGATGTAGGAAATAGCCTACAGCGATATTCAACAGTTGGTTAAAAAATTCAGAGTGATCATACTGTGGACAGCAAAAAAAGATATAATTAAGATCACTATACTCGCCACAAGACCATAAAGGATCTGTGACAATATTAAACTTATATAACTGCGCAGGAGTATTAACATGGTCAAATCGAAGTCTGCTAATAACAGAGGTGCTACGTTTATCAAACAGTAACTTAGTAAACCAAGGTTTATCAGTAATGTACTCTTGTACCAATCGATAAAACTTCACTTTGGAAGTATTATTGACCCAGAACTCATTCCATGCTTCACTTAGATACACTTTCGGGAGAGTAGCCAAATCTTGACAATAATTATTGTAAGGAAATATGTTACCATCTTGAATAGCTAAATTAGCCAGTAGGTCTGCTATTTTTATTTCCACGAATACCGACATGACCAGGTATCCAGACAAATACAACTTCATATCCTTTAATGAAGCATTGATAAAGTAGCTCTCTGATGTTAAAAATTATTGGGGATTGTTTATGACATTTAAATAGAAAGCGAGACAGTGAACTCATTGAGTCACAAAATACAACAGTCTTTTCAAGCTTGGCGAGAAGAATATATTCAACAGCTTTAAAAAGGCCATAGTATTCTCCCGTATGAACGGTCGATTCCGGGGGAAGTTTGACCTTCTGAATCACTTTATATTGAAAATGGTAAACACCAAACCTACACAACTATCATCAGAATGTTTGGATGCATCTGTAAATATATATTGCCAATCAGCCCATTTACTATTAACAATAAAGATAAATTCAGCATTTTGATTAAGATCATTCGTTTCAATTCCTATATCGTATTCAACTTGCAAGTTTATGTGAAGAGAACTGTAACATTCATATAAAGGAAGATTTGGTAAGTAGGAGCGTTGATATTTTTAAATTTTCGGTAACTTTGAACTAAACAAGGAATATTCTAGGGGCCCAATATGTAGAAGTGTTAATTTCAGAGTCTAATAGTTGTATTTTGTGAAAGTAATGTGTTATGCGTTTTTTCTAGTTGGAGACAACGCAAAAAGAATCTATCGCTAAGGTACTGTCTTCTCAAAAACGAGGGTGGTTCACAACATTTAACCTGTAAGCAATTAATTGGGCTAGAACTCCTCACGCCTGTGATCAGTCTTAAGGCTTTAGACTGGACATTGTTTAACTTTCCAAAGGCAGCAGTATTACCTGGATGTAGGAGGAAGGTTCCATAATCTAGGACACTTCTAATTAGGGCGTTTTATAGGAGTCTCATAGTGACTGGATGGGCTGGGACCAAACACCGGTTAAAATATTTAAAAGCTGTATACACTTAATCGTGACATATTCATAATGAGGGATGCCTGTAAGTTTAGAGTCCAGAATTACTTCCAGGAATTTAATATGGTCTTTCAGTGCGAGAGGAGTATTACCATAAGATATATTTACTAATGGCGGAGAACGTTTTCTAGAAAATAAAATGACATTGCTTTTGGTTGGTGATAAATCTAACACGTTTCTATCTAGCCAATTTTTTAAACATTTTAAATCCTCAGATAGATGCTTACTTATTTCTTCAACAGAATGTCCAAATGAATATAAAAGTAAATCGTCTGCGTACTGAAGGACATTACATTGTTTAATAGAGCATTCTAAATCAAAAGTATAAGGTTCGTATTCTAGAACTCTACTCAATGCTCAAGTCAGGATTGCAATTGAAACACAAGCACTGGAAATACGACCCTAATGGCAGGGACTTGAGTATGCTTTAAACCATACTCAAATCATGACTTCAGCATTGAGTAGAGTTCTAGAATACGACCCTTAATGTTGTATAAAATTGGACTCAGTACCGAGGCTTGAGGCAATCCTTTCCTAACTGTTGTATTTATAGTTTCGTTTTGTCCTAAATGTAGAACGTTACAGTGAAGAAATTTCTCTGATAACATATTATAAATAAAATTTATTAAAAGGATTGGAACATTTAGCTACTATAGTTTACTTTTAAGAATTTTACGTTATCATATTATGCCGCGGTGATGTCAAGAAATTCAGCTACTATGGAGTCTTTTTTTTTTTGGGTATTTGGTTTCTGTCCCACTGAGGACAATTCTGCCAGTGTCCGGATTGAAAGATACACGGTATATTTATCAAGATTCACTCAAACGACGACGATCGGTTGCACCATCCTATAGACAAAGACAAAACACGGGGTTATTTGACTAGCTACTTTGGATGAAAAGCGTAAACACATGCTGTGCACATGGTAAAAGTTATAACCGTATGTTATTTTGTTCAATATATTTAAATAGAGTAAATAGTAGAGGAGGTTTTAGGGGAGAAAGGATACTATAAAAATTTGTGGGACGAGGGATACAATCTGGAAGAAGATCGTATAAAGAGACGGGATATAATGCACAGTTAAAAAAATATATGGTCAAGAGTTCCTTCTTCAAGACCGAACTCACAAAGGGAGTGATCCCTTATCCTGAGCTTAGCAAAAAAAGTGGGTCTGTAGTTATGTCCTAGGCGCAATCGGATGATAGTTGAAGTTGTTCTTTTACTGGCCTCGCGGAACTCGAAAAACCAAGGTTTCTTGGGTATTACTGGTTGAAGACCAGCATAATATTTGCCTTTTTGTCTGCTAGAAGACGACCAGTAAGTCTTCCAGTTATTGTGTAAATCAATCTTAGCCTGGGAGCGTAAGTCTTGAGAAAAACATTTATCATATATAATGGTACCAGAATGAATCGCCCATTTAGCCCATCTATCCGCTTGTTCGTTCCCAGGAATGCCAGAGTGTCCAGGAACCCAAACAAGAACAATTTGTATGCCAAGGTTAGAGCAATTGTAAAGGAGCTCTTTTGTTTTAAGATTGATTGGGTGAACATCTTTGCTACGAAAGGGGAATTTTAACAGATCGTCCAGGCAGCTACGAGAGTTTGTAAAAATTACAGATTTGTCTAATTTGTTGGATTCAACATATGAAACTACCTCAAAAACAGCGATCACCTCACCCGAATATACGGACGCTTTAGAGGGAGATTTAAAAGTTAAGGAGATATTAAATGTAGGGATCCAGACGGCAGAGCCAACAAAATCATCTGTGGTGGATTTGGAAGCATCTGTAAAGATATTGAACCAACCGTTCCATTTCTCGTTAACGATTTTATTAAAAAGTATTCCAGCGTTAGGGTCATCTTTGACAATTCCTAAATTGGTAACAATGATGGGTTTAAAAATTAGTGCATCAAAATCAATTAAAAAGAATGGATTACCAGAGTATTGATTGATAGGGGGGCCGATAAGAGATTTGTTAAAGCTTTTTAAAAGGCATGGAGGGCTCTTATGTTCCCAGTATTTAGAAGTTGTAACAAGGTTCGCTAGTTGAGTCAAGGGGGCAAGTAAGGGGTGGGCAGAATTTTGTAAGATTTTGAAAAAGAAACGGTCGCATAAGTACTGACGACGGAAACATAACGGAGGATCTAAGCTCTTAACCTGCATGGCATTGATTGGAGATGATTTCATCGCTCCTAATATAACACGAAGACATCTAGCCTGTATATTATCCCAATAGTTAACAGCGGATTTGTTACAAGGTTCTAATAAAAATGAAGCGTAATCAAAATGACTCCTTATTACAGCATTGTAGATCAATTTTTGGGTATAAGGGTCGGCTCCCCACCATACTCCACACAGAGCTGTAATAATATTTATACCCTTTTAACGTTTATTTTTAATATAATTTAGGTGAGGGATTCCAGTCATGTGGGAATCAAAAAAGAAGCCTAGAAACTTAACCTTGTCGTGTCTGTACACGACAAGGTTAAGTTTCTAGGATCCCTGTGGGATCAGTTCATCATTTAGTAAAATTTGTATATGTGGGACACGTCTTTTTCTTGTGAATACTACTATTGAGCTTTTACTGGGTGATAGGAGAAGGCAGTGATTAGTGAGCCAATCTTGCAAGTATCTAATGGCAGTATTTAGGTGGATAGTGCATTCATCAAGAGACTCTGAGGAATATTGGATGTACCTGCAGTATGCCGAGTATTCGATGGCTGAGGTGTCATATCAACTCTGTTAGTTATGTGTGGACTGGGATTAGACCATGTAATATCTTTTGTATTAGAATTTTCATAAGATTTCTTTAATAAACATTGACTACTGAATACTGATTGTATTGGCATTTAATGTATTTGATCCACTCCGCCGTCTTTTTTTATTACAAGTTGCACAAACAACGCGAGAACCACGTTTACGTTGCCTCACTTCAGTAAACGAGATGTCTGTGTCCATGGATGACTCGAGAGCATTTAGTATCAAATCTATTGGAGTTTGAGCAACTGTATCATCTTCATTAGACGCATCTTGATACACCGGTCTCAAAAACCGCGTCTTCTTTGCATTGAGTTTCCCGCTCTTTTTTTCACAAATAGCTTAGCTTGGTAGTGTCGCTACTATAAAAAAATAAAAAAAAAAATACATTAATGTCATACATAATTGATGTGATTGATTCGCTCTGGACCTTTTGGAGGGAAAAGTGTCGTTTTTATTTTGACTTTCAATTATTTTGTGAAATCTAGTTTAAAGTGGAATAGGATAGTGCTATTGTGCCTTAATCGAACATTAAAACGCGAAATTATACGAATCTCGAACTAAAATACCCGTATCGGCCCGTTTTAAGGAATCCCGAGTCAATCCAAGCACGCCGCCTCAAATTGCTTATCCTCTAAGTGGCGGCCATATTTACAGAAACCTAATTAAACTTCATGTTTAGGCTATTGGCTTTGCCAAAGCCTTAATAAATTAAAAAAAAAATCATACATAATTTTTTTCTATGCGAAAAAAGAAATGTATTCCTTTTCTATTCTATTTCTAGGCTAATCTACAATCTACATCAAAACTATTGAAATCTTAGAGGATCATTGACTTACAATTAAAAGTCAATGTAGAGGATGGAAAGATTGAAATATCTTGACGTTACGCTTTTCTCTTTGATACATCACCATAATTTTCAACAAAAATGTTGCCAAATGTCTTTCTAGAGCATGTAGTGTGGATTAAAAGTTATGGTTATTTTTTGACATTTTTATAAAATTAAAGTTATTGTTTTGTTTCCGATTTTTGAATTTCGTAAAAAGCAAACAGCATACCAATACTTTAGATTTTTGAGCGTTTTGTTAAGTTTTTGTTGAGGTTTTTGGGAATTTTATGTTATAATGGTGGTAAGAAGTGTTTTAATTTATATGAGTAATTTATGAGCGTAGGCGGTGGAGTCCAAGTTACGTATTCTTTCAGGAGCCAAAGACAGAACTTCAGAGAAATGCTCTCGCGCTTGCCCGCAAGCAAGAACTGGAAATCAACCAGCGAGCCTATGATATGGAATGGCTCAACAACCGCATGGAAGACGGTCGTATGGGTCGACTTCTTGCGCTCATACAACGAGAGGCCGATTTGGAAAAGGATTTTCAAGAGGTAACACTGTTTAAAAAGCTTAAAATGGCTCTTTAACAGGCATGAAAAAAATAAATTTTAAGAAATATTTACTTTATTGACATTTTAACAATTGATGTTTAAGCATAAATTTCTTCTGAATACAGCATTCATATGTAAATGTAAACCGCGTTTTAAAACCCCCCAATCACCATGTGCATAGGTTGACTGCTATTATTACATTTGCATGATAAGTAATTATAAAATTTTTACTGGTATCCCTGAAACATTGAACAAATGCATCTCTTCATAATTTACAGAGAACTGACCATGCAGCACTAGTAGAGGCTCGTGCTAAAAAAGAAGCAGCGCTCGCTTCAGAGATAAGTGAAGTAAGGCGTGAAGAACATTGCAAATACCAAAGAAGACATTATCTGAGGGAAAGAGACCCTGGACTAAGAGAATTGCAGAAAAAGCTAACTGCTGGGTACACCTGTAGAGATATCCAGCAACAGATCTTACATAATCAGTATAAAAAGTTACAGGAAAAAGTATGTTATTATAACTTTGTGAATTCTTAATATAACTTTTGGAAGACTTTTGTGTATCCACAAATGTTGAGATGTTTTGCCTGGTTGTTCTCAAGCTCGGAAATGCAATCACAGGATCTTTATGAGCTTGACAGTAGACTGATAAATTGGGTATTCATTTGGTTGGACTAGCTTAGAATGTTCTTGGCACTATTACTATACATGCTTGCATTTATTTTGATCACAGAAGCTTATTACACTACCTCATTCCAGGCAGATGAAAAATGTGCAAATGATTTGCTTCGAGCAGCTCTATTCAGTGACCAGGAACAACTCAAAATAAATGAACAAAAAAAGATGGAGGACAATTTTAAATATCGACAAGAGTTGCAACAGCAATTGGTGAACAGACAAAGGCAACGTCAGTGTCAATATGAGGAAAGCCTGATTGAGAAGAAAATGCTTGATGATATTTTAAGAACTATTGCCTATGAGGATAAAAGGTAATATTAGCAGTAAGCATTTCTAAAATCCACTTCTTCAATTGTGCATTAAGTATGATGGGGATTTATGCATTAAATGTCTTAGCATAAATGGCTTAGTGTAGAGTTTAAATCTTAATACACAATTTTTATAAAAGATCTGCCTTGACCTTTCATGTGATATGTTCTTTCATGGAGGAGACTCCATGCACTTCTATTTATCTCTATTCTTATTCTCCCACAATCAAACCAGGCAAAGTTGTTTTTCTTGGTTTTTCGACCTTGTTTTTTTACTGACTCGTTCCTTTGTGTTTTTAATAGTATCCAACTTCTGTCATTGTATTTTGATTATTATTCTAATTATTTTTATTATTTCTAATTCCAGGGAGTTAGAACAAAAGCGTGTGTTGGTAGAACGAACTTGTAAGGAGATGTTGACATTCCAGCAAGCTCGGCAAGCATGGCGTGACAAGCAAAAACGTCTTGTTATTGCAGAAGAAAAGGAGATTGAGAAACAGGCCCAGGAACAGTCTGATCGCAGTGCTTCTATGTGTGTAATGTGACAATAAATAAACACAGCTTTTACTTCTAAAAGCGATATCAGCATTATACCAATCAATTACTATTAGTTTACATAGAGTGTACAGATGACACCATTACCAGATTCGTTTAAGTTTGTGCTATTAGCCCATGAGATTTGTGTAACTAGTTACGATGCTACATATACACGATGTACATTGACAATAAGCAGACCCCTTTCTGGCTTAACAGACTCTCATCTGCTGTATTAAACATACTTTAAAATTGAATAAAATGATGCAATTCAATATATTAAATTATATTTACATTGGCAAAGTAAATAGTACGGAAAACTTCTGACTTCTTGGAGTTTCTCTAGTGAAAGATTGTTTATGGGAAATTCACTGTTAAGATTGATGTTTTTACAGCAATAGTATACAATTTTTTATTTGTGTTACATATAACTACACCTATTTAATCAATGTATTATGCCAAAAATCATTCTTATAGAATAGCAGAGCGGTTACGGAAGTTGCGCGAAAGAGAAGAGTCCAATGCAAGGATGGCAGCTAAAATTCTGGCTGAAGAGGTAAATATAAATATTTTTTCTTTAATAATTGACCTTGGTTTGATATATATATGATTTTACCGATTATTACAGGATAAACGACAAGAACGAATAGACATAATCACACAGCTTCAAGAACAAGAATTTATTGAGCAAAATGTCCAAAATGACATTGCCAAGAAGGAAAAACAGGAACAAGTCAAGAAAGAGGTGTTGGATGCTTTGGATGCACAACTCCAATTTAAAAAGGATGCTGCAGAACAACAGAGACGATGGGAGATTGAGTTTAGGAAGGAGGTAGGTTTATGTGAAAAATATATGGATAATAAAAATATGTGGATGTCTATGTGAAAAAGTACTTATTTTGAATTTCATTTTAAAACATAATATGTGGATAATCAGGTTCAAAAGCAATTCAGCAGTATTTATTGTATTTTTACATGTTTATTTTGCCCATAAGACAAACGCATGTAATTCGAGAATGTAATTTTGTATTTTAAAATGTTGTCTGTCTAATGGCCAGTCAGAATCTGTATACACTTTCCTCTAACCATCCTGTACCAGGGTTTTGTTCAATATTGCCTACTATGCAAATGTTAATAGTTGACTCAGAATTGCTTATTTAACATTATTAGACGGAAAGGAAAATAAAAGAGGATGAAGAAAAAGAGCGTATTAAAAAAGAAGAAGCTCATCGCAAGAAAATCCAATACGCTAAAGAACTTCGCGAGCTGGCAGAAATTGGTGCTCGCAAGAAACAAATCTTGAAACAAGAAGAGGAAGAACGCGCTAAAGCTGTCTGGGAATATAATAAGGCTTGGTTCGTCTATTTTTTATTACTATGCAAAAAAAGTTCCTACTTTAATATATTTTGAACTCTGTATGTTGCAGAATTTATTCTTCAACATACAGAGAAAGAGTTTGAAAGTTAATTTAAACTGCCTTCATGGCCGAATGGTAATCATGCTGGACTACCACGCAAAGGTCTCGGATTCGATTCCCGGGCCGGGAGAAATATTTGTATGGCCTACATTTATTTCTCTTGTGAGTTTGGGTGTAATTTGCGGTTGGCTGTGTGTATCCATGGCGCCCGCGAAACTGGGTTTTCCTAGTGCGGGGCTATGAATGTGTGCGTGTGCGTTATTAATACCAGTGCTACTATTTAAGTACTATGTGATTTTATCTCTCTCGTTTCTTTGCGCATGCATGGTAAATTACTTAATCAGCATCATCGTCACCCCATTGTATTCGTGCTAAGCCCTTGCTAACTCAACGAGTGTTAGAGGCTTTACACGTTTTTCAAAGATGCTGAGCTTTGAAAATGAAAATATTTTTTTCAAATATATTTGTTTTTAACTAATAAATTAACGTTTCGGACCTCTAAAGAGTCCGTTCATATCCAAGATCAATCACTACCAAAACAATCGCGAAAACCTCAGAACACGGTGGTGAACTTTCGATATGCAGGTTTCATCACACGATGTTTTCCTTGACCATTGTTTGTAAGAACTGATAATGTACGTACCTCAACAATTAAAGTCATAGGTTTCGAACAGACAGCAACGTTCTTCCACTAGGCTGCCACCACTTGAAAATTACTTAACGGTTATTCTAAAATAATTATTATTAAGAAGTCCTAATAATAATTGTGTTATTATTTTCATACAGGGACGCAGAGTTAGAACAAGAACGTAGGAAGATAATTCGTGAACACATCCCGCATATACTTGGTTATCTTCAACCTGGAGTGCTCAAGAAGGAAGACTTGCCCGCGGTGAGAGAGGGCGCTAATAAACACGAGCAACTTGCCAAACTTGATATAGAAAAGATGGCGGTAACGAGTCGTCCAAAACAGTTTTCCAAATGCAATGCGCAGTGTAGAATCTTGAGAGAGTTTTGAGTTAGTTTTGGTGGTTGAATTTTGTGATGTGCTCACATTATTACTCACAACATAGCATGTTTTTCGTGAAAATATACGTAAAATATTAAGTGATGAAAATGTCGCAGTAAGCTAGCTATACAACACTTTATTTTTGTTTTATTGTAATTGTACACCGAGTCAAATGATGTATAAAAACCCAATATTAATGTTCATAAATTAAAATGTAGATGGCACGTACTTTTAATTTGAAATATCGACATTTGGTATAATGACTTCAGACTCGTTGTACTATTGCTTTTTTGCAACTTAGTATTGTTGTAACTCAGGTGAAGTTAACTTCAGTATCATTAACACTCATGAATTTTTGTTATGTACTGGCTATATTGCAATTTGTTCTGGTAAAAAAAATACTGATGTTGCTCAAAATAAGACTGATAAGAGTGTACTAGGTATCTATTTAGTAATTCTTTTATTTACAAAAACCATGTAGGTTCTCGAATCAATTCTTCAAATTTTGTCGACTTGTGCTGTTTATTAGGTACATCATTCGTTTATTATTTTAAAACATTGATTGCGATTGTAAAACTGCATTGTGATTATACTTGTAGTGTTCCGTCCTTTGTAGAATATTATACCATATTTTAAAATAAAGTCTGCTTTGATATAGGAATTTTGTTATTATATGTATAATCTTAAACTTCCTACGTCATTCGTAGGAACATTTAGTTCCTTGACCATGATAAAGTAGATGGATACCGACATTGGCTTTTTGTAAGTCAATGGATACCGAGCTTTTTGTAAGTCAATGGATACCGAGCTCTATTTGTGTTCGCCCCTATTCCATTATGTAATCAAGAATGTACACTTTGTAGCTTAAATATATTATACACACGCATTCATCACATTTGTAGGTACTTGGTCGCCATTCTCCTTAATATAACGCACAAAAAGTCAACTTCCCAATAACGGTTAGTACAGAACACAAACACGGTTATAAGCTGAAAGTCAAACAATAATTAGGGGTCCGTTTGCTGAAAATATTTATACGACCGAAATTAATTCCAAATACGCCGCGCCAATATTAAAAGGGGTGACTGAAGGGTTACCATGAGGTCAGAGTAAAGAGGTACAAAGTTGTGCACCTTTAATTTTTATCCTTTTTGACGATTGACACGTGTGATGAAACAATGATAATGAGTAAATGTCTAAGCAACAGACGGTCGACATGGTATTTGTTGGTCAGCACTCATGATCAGATAAAACCCAGTAATTATGTAAGAAACGCAATTGATATTGTGTTTTTGTCGAGGGATACGTATGATGACCAAATCGGTAAACAGTAAACGTGTAAGCAACAGACGATCGGCAGCACATTTTTGGTCGATCTACACTGTAATGCAAATTAGACGTGGGTGCCTAATGCCTACAAATGTGTTCGATTTATCGATCTGATATTTATCGATCTGACACTGATATTTATTGATCGCTTACAGCAAGCGATGGCAATCATCGACAAGATGAGCAAAGGTATTAGCTGACAGTTCTTATTGCCAATAACAATATTCAAAAATCGAGCAAATCTGTATGCACGTATTGATCGTCAAAACACATCATGTCGAGCGACTATAACTATCTAATCTGTAGGCACCGTAACGTATGATACGCTTTACAATACGCTTCATATACTAGGTAGGTTGTAAACTCAATTGAACACTCGAATAAAAAGGCAAGCCTGTCGTCATCGTCCCAACCAAATCCTCCGGGAGGATTATACAGGCTTGTCTTCAGTGTTACGCTCATCTTATTCAGTCGTTTTATTATCGGTTCGTCTTGCCGTAACTGTTGCAATATTCTCAAGTCACCAGTTCAATAATCTAAATACAGATGTAGTGAATGGGTTAATACTATTAGTAACTTGCTCTACTATTTTACCTTACGCATTAACTATTGCCGTCATCAACAAACTACATCATCCTTATAGGGGTAAACGGATATTTTGTATTGCTGTGTCCTACAAATTATTTGTCTTCGTGGTCACAATACAAAAAAAGCTGGATTTGGCATTTTTGACGCAATAAAGAAATAAAAGTTGCTAACTCAGCACACAGGTCGGGGCCTGATAAAAATCTATGAAAATCATTCGGACCCTTTCGAAATGACACTCCATCTGCGGTATTTGTTCTTTTGCCCCGCAAGATAAAAATAATTATTTTTGAAAAGCAATAATATGGCGAATATTTTTTATGCTCTATAAATATATGCTTGCGGGCTATTTATTTCGTAAAAAGGCGCAGTGATAAATACAAATTTAAGTCGTCAGCCACTGTAGAATAGATTTATTAAGCAATTGTACTAGCAACACTACCAGCTTCACTACCGAGGCCTTTCTTCTTGTTTTTCTTTGCTTGTTCTTCATACTTCTTCGCCAGTTCTTGATATTCCAATTGCTCTTTTATGTGTTTCTTTTCGATTTTACCCCATTGAGTTTTGTCTGTATACCAATTAAGGTACTTTTCATAGTCCTGGAAATTTGTACATACATGGTTATATATATGTAGTATATATGTAGGTAGTGAATATGGTTTTTATTTCCGAATTTGTCGATAAAAAATATTGTTGTAAAAAGTTGAACATAATAAATACTATTTAGTGCACCGAGTAAGAACCAACCCAATAAACGTTCGACATGCTCCTTGAAGATACTTTTGTATCTTATAGGGTCCCATTCAATGGCGAACATGTTAGCCGTATATACATATAATCCACGATTTTCAAGACACATTTTTCACGTAAAATGTTGGTTGAATTAATAAACACGTTGAGTGCCTAAACCTTTATACCAATTTTTTATATTTTTACCGTTTTTTGTTCCGTGGGGTCATCTATTACGTGATCGAAGACTTCTTGTGTGGTTAAACCTTTAGCTGCCATTCTGTAACAAACAATTTCAAGTAGGCCACTGCAAAGAAAATTATAGGGCCATTGTATTATGCACAGGCAATATAGTAGAAGTGCTCGAGGGCGTGTCACTAACAGTACGCGAGGTTCCACGTACTTGAGTTCAGTCCGTCGTTTTTGCTTTGTACAGTAAGCTCGTGTCAATTATCTTGCGCAAAACCTCGAAAATCCTGAAAAATGTCTTATTTTGCAACTTAGTAGTGTAATATTTATAATAGTAATGCACCAGTATAATATTATCCATGGTGCTGTTTCATATAATCGTTAACGATCATTTTAATTAATTTTTTATCTTATTTTTACGGCTATAGATTTTTTGTCATAAGAAACGAAAGTGAACTTAGTGCCGCTGCGATATGGCCGACTTGTTTTGGAGAACGTTAATAGGCGTTAATTGTTAGTCTTTCACCTATTGTCATTAGATGGCAGCACGTTGAATGAAATTTCAATTATTAAATTAAAATGTCGTAACTTGCAATAATAGGTATTGAACTTTCACCGATGTGCCAACTGGGTAAAGTTTAAATTATATGAACAGTCTAGAATTTGTCACATCTTGTTAAATTAGAAACAGTTAGAAACCACGACCAAACATTGTCTGCATCCGTGGTCGAACGGTTACCATGCCGGACTGCCACGCAGAGGTCTCGGGTTCGATTCCCGGGCCGGGAGAAATATTTATATGGCCTACATTCATATCTCAAGTGAGTTTGGGCGTAATTTGTTGTTGTCGTCTATGTATGTGTCCATGGAATATGAGTGTGTGCGCGTTAATTAAATTAAAATTAATTATTAATATCACATTTATTGTCAAGATTTTATAGTGTTAACATTATGTGAGTGTGAATTTTGGCGACAGCGGTTCTGATAGTAATAGAGGCTTAAGTCCCTTCCATTGTTTTTGTCTTCCGTGGTATTATGGCAGCAATATATGGCGTCCAAATTGGGACTCACCTATATTTCTATTATATTTCCATTAGCAAGCACTATAAAAACGTTCACGTAAAAGTCACTTTTGCGAATAAAAACGTACCTAACAATACGTTCAGCGGTTAAGAAACTCTTCAAAGACTCCTTTAAGTATTCGTAGCTATATCCTTGTAATGTATAGGCCAATGTGTCAATATCCAGGTCAGGGGGTACCATTCGATTGCTAAAATCAAGAGTAGTTTATTTTAGTAAAATGCATGCTTTCTGAAAATAATCATCATTAATCCATTTATGTCCCATTTGGCTCGGGTCTCCTCTCAGGCGAGGGTTTACTTCACACGTTTTCCGACGGTTGTGAACTTTCTTCGACAAGGCTTATTATATTAAAAGCTCATGGTATATTTCAAATTAAACATCGCACATAAATTCTAAGAAACTCAGAGGCGCGAGCCCGCATTCAAACCCACGGCCTCTGCTCGAGAGACGATAGGTCATTAGGCTACCACGGTTCTCTGTCAATGTGTATCTAGATTTATGTTCTGGGTGTGCGTTGCCTCACTGGTGGGAATAGTGAGATTTTGTGGTAGTGTGACAATGCTCTTATGGAAGTATTAGGTGGTAACTGTGAATATGTAACATAATTAAATTTTACTGATTTTATACAATTTTCAATGTCTTACCTCAAAACCCATTCTCTAAGTATTTCGAAGGTCGTCGAGTAATGTGTATTCGGCGTCAGGATGACATTTGGGAAACTTTTCAGCAACGCTCCGCTTTGGGTCAGCCAAGGATCAGCACATCCTCCTGTATTGTTCTTTAGAACTTAATTTCAAATTAAACATCACTTAATATGAAGTGGCCAAACTTTACGTCATCTTGCGTCCTCTCACGTCGTCAAACAGAAAAAAAGATGCCATACAAAAAGACAATAACACGTACCTACAATAGTCACTTTGTCATGTTTCTGAAACTGCTTAAACAACTTCTTTATTAGGTGTTTTCGGAGTAGTGAATCGTTTAGCTTGGCTTCATTCGGTGGCATTTTTTTCTGTAAGTATTTTAGGTATTATTTTCATTATTTATTCTCATTGAAGACATCGACGAGGCTCTGTGATTAAATTAGGTAGATTGTTCTGTAGAACTAGTTTTTGGTTATATAAAAAAATTACTGGCGTAGTTTTGTATCTTACCTTACCATAAAATAGTCGTTGAATATGTTTAAAATAGATGACGCACGGTTGAGATGCTCTTGCACATGTTGCTAAGGCATCCGCTGTTTTCGCCACGACAGCGGTTAATTCTTCGTCTGCATACTCTTTGAGATCAACTTCAAAAAGTGTTGCATCTAAATATGTCTTAAATTTTAAAGTATCTTAAAGCAATTAACTTAACATTATCTCAGTGCTTGTCTCCCAGTGGTCAGAGATAGCAATAATTTTGTTACTTTGTGTTTTTTTAATTCCCAATACTTTTGACGATGTTCGATTTACAAATAGACTTACCGTTTATGGTAGCCATTATATGGACAAGCGTAGTCTTTCCACTTCCTAGAGGACCGATTAAAAGTATTTTATTCAAACCACGTATCAATTCACTGCATTGTTCCCACCAAATTGCTTTTATTTCAGCCGCATGCGGAACTGCTTGTCTATAATTAAAATATTACTACCTTAATTATTTTTTTGCGTTTGTGCTTCCAAATATTTCAAAAAAATGTTGCGTTCCGTAGATGTATTAAATGTACAAAAGTTCTTACTGCAAATTGCATCGAATATCATCACCAATAACATTTGCTTCACCTTTGAAATCATCGAAAGTAGTACGAGGATACTCTTTTATTATTTCTTTAACGATTAAATGCTGTAAAGAAAAACTTTGATTTCCATGACTGAAACTTTTAATTCTAGTATAATATTTCGCCTTAGCTTTATTATTAAAGCAGTTTATTCAGAGATGGATTAATACTTATCTATTTATTTAACTTTTATTTTTCACTCTTACCTTCATAGCATCTCCGATATCCATAAGCTTTTTTTCTTTCTTCACCTTTTTTTTCTTACGAGTTATTCTTGGAAATTCTGCTATCATAACTTCAGGTAATTCTTTTTCCATATATTCATAATCTCTTTCCATCGCATCTTTTAACTTTTTAAGTTCTTTTCTCATTACATCATCTACTGTTGGCCTTAATTCCATTTTCACTTCTGTAAATGCTTTTTCTTCTTCGATGAATTTGACGTATTTTTCTTTTACATCCATAGTATTTAATTCGTCTAGATCATCCCATCTTTTATGGTACTCTTCAATTGACTGCAGAAGTATATTTTGAATACATTCAAAGTTAAATAAAATTACGTATAAGGACCTACAAATGATCTAACCAAAAAGCAATCAGCTGCTCCAAACAGTTATTACTTACTCAACATAATAAATATTTATTCACAATTGAAGGGGTGTTTGGTACGTAGTACAAATTCTTATAACAATACTGAACTTATGGTTACAATGAACTTATTTTATTTTGTCGGTAATATTCTTCCCAAAAAAAGAAGGGAAAGATTTGACGCTTTTGAGATATGGTGCTGGAGGAGGATGAAGGACTTATGTTGGATAGAAAAGAAAACCCATGAGGAAGTATTGAGAATGATAAACGACAAAATAATGATCCTGAATACTATAGAGTACAGACATGGGTAAATGATTGGACATTTGATACGACACGACAAAAGACCATTTTGGAGGGAAAGATCGAGGGGTAAGGAGGTCAAGGAGCTGGCTTATAAGAGAGATGACTGGAAGATGTTCCACCGACAAGATTATAACTCTTAAGTTTGATGATGATGCTTCACAACACTACCTACTATCTACAAAACATTCGTAATTTAAAATGCACTCGGTTTTCTAACATTAAATCAAAAACATGTACCGATAGCACATTTTCTATTCTTTCTGACTTTGGAAACATGTAACCAGGGTGAGTCGATGGATTCTTCATAGTTTTCTTCAAAAACTTTTCTTCAAACTTCTTCTTCATGGCTGCTTCCTTTTTCTTCATAATGGCTTCGATTTTTGCCTGCTTCTTTTCATTTTTTAGCTGGTGTTTAAATTTTATATTTAATTTCTACATTACTTACTCACTTCTTGTATCAAGCCACAGGTTTAAGCTCATTAAAATGAAATATTTTATAAATAAATTACTTCACTCGCAGATTTATCTTTGTTTTTCTTCCTTTTATCCACAACAGTTTGATAAAAAGTGTTATACTCCTCAGGAGTGGGAACCGTTCCATTTAGAATCAAAGTTGATCCACCCTGGTTGTCTTTCGGTATGTCATAGAAAAAATTCATTTTTTTATACCTAAAAAAATAAAATTGTTTTCATGACATTAAACTCACTCACTACTTGGTTTCAGTCACTGCCTACATTTTCTGTGTATCAAATAACTTACCATTGTCGAAACCAATCTCTAATTTCATCTCGATAATCCTCAACAATTTCACGTCCCCTTTTCTTTTCGAAGGCGTTTTTAATTTTTTCACAGTCTTCTTTATATTCAATTTCATACTGTGCTCGCAATTTCATTCGTTTTGCGCTTACCTGGGTAATTTTATTAGTACAAAACATATTGTACTTGTTTAAACATGAAGTATACGAAAAGCTAACTGTCGGGGCGGTGATTGTTTTAGTTAGGTATGGCAATGATATTATTATTGAGTTGTGTGGAATTTGACTTTGGTTTATATACTCTGTCTATACATTCAATTTAAAATTGAATAACATACTTACTTGTAGACTATGCTCCATTGCTGTTTTTTCTCGTTTTTTGCAGATTCTTAGGCCTAATAACTCATCGCGTTTACAATCTGCTACTTTCTTTCTTTTTAGCTCAAAATACTTTCTAAAACAACAAGCATTTTCAGGTGGACCGATGAATTAATTTCATTAATTGCAATAAAACGAGTTGTTTGGACCTATCCACTTATGCTGACTTCATGAAACAACAGGAATATATTTTTGATAACAATCACCACGATATGCAATTATGAAAATACCTGCAGTACTTTTGTATCATATTCGCTGCCCTTGCTCTTGTTTCCAATGTCGCTGGCGTATTGGTTTCTCCTTTTAACTCTTTTTCCCACATCTGCCTTTTTAAGCGTCGGAGTTTCACCTGCCGGGTTACTTGTCTAAAAGCCCAAAATTAAGATACTACCTATTATCGCGTGACTTTTCATATGTACATACAATCAAATAAGCTTTTACACATCGCATAAATAATATGTGGTAGTTTAACCTTGGTTACTTTTACATGCAACTTCATTTGCATTTAGTAGCAGTAGAGCTCCTTGTAAAAGAGTTCGTCCAGGGAAGCACTGCCACCTTACCATATCTGCTGCCAAGCAGTAGTGTGAACATTACTGCGTTCCGGTTTTGAAGGGAAAGATGCTGGTGAAATTACAGGCACATAGGTCTTGTCAACTTACGTCTCAAATCTTTGTGATTTAAAGCTCTGAGTGGTACTGCAACTGTTATGGACAGGCGTGTCGCTAACTCCCGTCACTTAGTATTTAATAAAAGTGAGGATCTCAATATTAAACAAACCCGTTGAGCAATTTTGGTGTGAGTGACGCAACAAACATATAAAGGTGCAAACTTTCACATAATAAATTAGTGGGATTAACCACCTTGCCTTCTCCTGTGCCGCAATCATTGACAGTAGGTGTCTTCTCTCTAATGTTTCATCTGACTCTTTCTGTTCCACTTCGTAAATTTGTGTTTTATCTTCACTGTCTGTGGCATTATCGTTATCCCACCACTGTGTAATTTCTTCTCCGGCTTCTTCTTCTGCTTCTTCTTTTGCTAAGTAATGATTTAATTCTTTATTTGTATTTAAGGTTTGACTAACATGCCTACATGTATGATTAACTTCCTATAGCATTATAGCATTTTCTATAAATCCATGACTACCTTATAACTTTACCTTTCCTCTCCATTTCCTCAATTATCTTTTGCTTAGTTTCTTCGATCAAGATTTTTACCTCTTCTGATACCTCGGCCTTTTCAGGTATATGAACTAGCTCAATATTGCAAGGTGTCAGAGCGAAGTCTTGTAAGCCGTTGTGTGGAAATCTATAGTTACTCCCTTCCAATTTGTTTAATTCGTTCTTTATTTCTTTTATTCTGTAGGTAGTTTTTCAACATTTTGGTAGTTCATGCTATTTAGAAATTATCACGATAATATATTAGGAAAAATCGTGACGAAATGTACATTTATACTTTACCTGCAGTCGACGGCCTTTACAATGTCGTGGATGTACTGATTCTTTTGTATTTGTAAATTGTGATGTGCACAATCCATTATTGCATTGTAAATACTTAAGTAACCTGTGAGTATCCCATTTAATCTTAACACCGCGTGGCAGATTATCTTTTCTGGGACCCGTGCATTCTGAAAATAAAATATCAGTGACATTTAGAATTTACACTTTTTTGTTACGCTACGTTCGATGTTAACATTGACTTTACAGAGACGGCCCGTTTCCGTTATCTGAGGTGGAGTGTTTACCGGTTGACACATGGTTTTATTAGGTATCATTGGTCTTATGATACCCATTAAATCAATAAATCAGTTTAGGTTGCGATGCTGCGATGTGACTTTTTTTAGCCACCACAGAGTTTTTTTAGTATATAACTCCTGACCTGTAAGTCCACATCTATTGCTGTTATCCTTTCCAAATGCCTAAGTACTTCATTCCATTTCTTGAAGTAATAGTCAGTGGACATAATAAATTGTATAAAAAATAAAATTGATATTATATATCATTCTACTTAAGGTAGAATTCACGATGGTTATGAAATCTGCAATTTATTTCTTACGCATTACGAATTTAGGTAATTACATAATTTTTCTCATATGTAACCCAAATGCTAAGAATATATTATTATAATTATACACAATTTCGTACGTTCATTATTCTATTTAAGATTTCGCAGATCTCTATTTTTCTCTTTGTATTCTTTAAAAAAATATTTTAACAGTCTCCATTCAAAATTCTTTCGAACGCACTCTGCCCTACTAAAATTACGTGAATTGGAACGCGGCTCACCGTATCGCATCCATTTGGGCCAATGAAAAGGCAAACGATTGCCATTACGCGTTATCGCTGCCAGCGGAAAACCTTACATCATAGCCGATGAGGGAAATAACCGATCTCACTTGACGGGAACATCGGATGCCACAATCCTAGCTAAAACATCCAAAATACCATTCCTGAATCTGCAAAAATCATCTTTATGTGTATTTTGTTAAGGTTATGTATACATTGTAGAAAAATTAGGGTTGTTGCAAAATATAAAGGTGTCAGTGACGGCGAGCGCCCTCGCCACAGTTTCCGGTGGCACTGAATGCCGGCCATCTTGTCACCGGAAGTAGTAAAGCCTTCCGTGGCGTCTGTCGGCGCGTTCGAAATGTGTCGGTTTACGTACATTTTTTTTAGGCGAAATGTTACTTGCTTTAGATGTTTTATAATGAAAAAGTTTAAAATGTTTTAATTGTATAAAAATTTAGCTTTTTGAATATAATTTTCTTTTTATTTTGACAATATTAGAATATGCTCAATGCCTGCCGCTTTAGTGTTGGAAATTATTGATGGAGTTTACCGTTGCTCTTGATAGTATACATTTTATTTCCTCAAATTACTTAGCGTCTTTCGGCTTCAATTTTTTTTATCCCTTGCTTAATGGCACTGTTACCGTTTCTCGGACCACGTTAAAATTTTTGAAAATACCTTGAATCCCTTGCGAGCGAAACTGACACTCTAATGGAAACTGTCGAGCTAGGGTGTCTTATAAAAATTCGATATATCTCCCGAGAAAAACCTATTTTGCATGAAACGACATTGCGACGTGTGACGTTGTGACTGGTTGCGTTAGGGGTGCGAACATCGACTAGCTTTTGTTGAAAACTTTCTAACAACGATTCGTTGCCATATTCTCATTTTAATTCGTGTTTCTTTTCATCGTTTTCCTAAACTTTTTTCTGGTAATAGAGTGGTATTATCAGAGAGAGAGAGAGAGAGAGAGAGAGGGAGAGAGAGTATTGGTATGCAAGAGTGCATGCATACATTTGAAATACTTGTACTTCACTTTTTGGTATATTTTTTTATTTGAGCTAGTTAAACTACCAACAAATCTTTTAAAAATACCTACCTATTCGAAAATGCCTACTTACATTGTCTGCCTGGGGTTATTTAACATAAATTAGTAAAGTGCTCTTAGTTCAAGCAATCTAATTCTCCGTAAACCCATTTTAGTTGTGAAATAAAATTTTCTCCAAAATGTTGAAGCGGAGTATCAGGTTGCTACTGATCTCCCGAGGGCTCATAATGCGATATTGCCGAAAAATATGGAGCGGAGACGTGGTGTCAACTGCCAAGCAGGGAATACACCTACGAGATGGCAATTTTCGCCGTTGTAACGTGTTAGGATCCAAATGTCACATTAGACACGTGATAGACAAGAATAGGTTATGTTAGGTTAGGAAAAAATGGCATATAGTATGTGGTATATTAACTAATGATTGACTACCATTTTTGTGCCTGATTGGTTTTAAAAAAAGTCAATAAAGGAAAACATTTGTTTTTTTAGTGGCAAGTAGATATAGTATGATTAGTGAGAAAATTTTGTTAGAAATGTTAGATCTCTAACGTGAAACAATGTAGAGAAGAAGAGGAACAGAAACGAGGCGTCACATTGGCAACAATATTTCATCACCTCCATCAAGATAGAAATGATTTAGGGTAAATTCCCAGTAAATCTTACAATGTCGGGTAAATTATGCCTTTCTTTCGCCGCGGAGGCGTTCACAGCTAATAAAGCAGATAACGATGGAGATATTTTACATTCCCGAGGCCATAAAGTATGGAGCGGCGGCAAATCGGCCAAAATGAGCCATTCGGACGTGGAAAGTGCTACAATTTATACTGAGTCCTTACTTACATTTTATATTACTAAGGTATGATTCATAAGAGACTGACGAACGGCAACAGTTGAATAGTAACTAGCCTAATATGTTTTTTCCTGATTTTCTAAATTAAAGTCCTCCATTGTAGCAGAGGATGTGTGAACGCAAGTGGGGCGTTAATGACAACACCTTTTATTTATTAAGTTATATAAGGAAGTAATATGTATGTAAAGACTACCCACCACATGAGCACAACAATAGTAGACTAACAAAATATACCATAAAATAGCGTTAATAGCTAATACGTGAAATTTTGTAGTTAAAAAGATAAAACTAATGAAATGCCTATTCTTAAATTTAAAATCATACTTAGATTAAATATATTTTTATTGGTTTTTGGTTCGCTTCATTAATAATACTGTTTACTTGACTGGAACTGTTCAACTTTCTCTTTTTAGTACGTTGCTGGCAAAGTATAAACTAATTAGTATAAAGTGATATTTATATATTTTGTTTGTAATCAATGATTTCTGCAATTGTGACATTGCTATTGCTACGCTGTGCCTACGAATTATGGAAGGTCTACGCGGTTATCCAAACTAAAGGCGCATTCAAATTAGACGCTTATAGAAGCGCTGTAGTGGCACAACTACGGCACTGCTTTTCTTACAATATCTAGAAGCACAGTTGCAGCGCCAGTCTCGTGATCAATTTTCCAATTACAATAAAAGTAGTGGACTAAAAATTACTGAGGCGGTACGGACGTGCGGCTGCCGCGCCACTGCAGCGCTTATTGAAGCATGTAATTTGAAGGCGCCTTAAAATATATTAAAATTATAGGTGTGGTGAAATTACAGGCAAATGCGACTTGTCAACTCATGTCCCAGGCCTCAAGGTGACAGGTTCAGTGGAAGTATCAGAGCTCTGAGTAACACGTCAACTGCTATAGACAGGCGTGTCGCTTAACACCAGGTGCACTATTTGCTCGTTCCGTCACTTGGTATCATAAAACAATATATTAAGAAGATGAATAAATTTATTTTATATTAGGCGTAGACATAGTTGTTCTTTTGTTACCGTGTTGCCTATCTCAGCTTCTTCCTTGTACCAAAACATTAGTTACAATATTTCACGGCGAGCAGACATTTTTATAGGTATTTAGCGAAAACGTCTCTTCCACGGGCCAATTTGCAACTTGTTCGCGTGCATCGTAAATTATTTGAACGAGCTCGTGCACTTTGTTTATTAAGGGCTCACTTTGTTTGCCTCGATGACATCATTCTATTGTTTTAGTAGGTTAACATAAACGGGTCAGTATGGGCGCTATTTCTATCCATAACATAAAATAACAGAACTATAAAGAAAATTGTTACGTATTAAAAGATGTGTAAGCGGGATAGACTGTGACATAATTACTTTCATATTCGTACATATTCAATTCCTTATTCAGAATATTATGATGATAATATTAACCGCATTTACGAATCTCTATAATTCAGATTGGAATATTGACTACAACTATTAGAAATTATAATAATAAGGCAAGTAACGTGAACCTTTGAAGGGAAATATCGTGTTTGGGTCTATCGTACGAGAGAGACCATCTATAAACAAAGTTCTCAAATTTTTTGTCTGATATGCCACGTGCCAATTTTTCATCACCTTCAAATGTGTTGTTTGACAGCTGACACAGTATTAGTGAGAAATTTTACATATTTATATATTGTTATTGTTTGCTGTAAAATGTTTAAGAATTTCATAGGCTCTATGAAGTCTACTGTAAATACTATAGAACTCTATGTATGTCTACTGTAAAATAATTTATGTAACGTGGATTTTTTTTTATAACATTAAGTGATGGGACGGACAAGTCGTGCGCCTGAGCTTTAAATTGTAAAGATCTGAGGGGCATCACTGCGCCCGGTACCCTGAGTTATAAGTTGACAAGTCCCATGTGTCTGTAATTTCACCAGCATCCTTACCCTTCAAAACCGGAACACAGTAATGCTGACATTACTGCTTCGTGGCAGAAATTGGTAAGATGGTAGTACTACCCTGGACGAACTCTTTCATAAGGAGCTCTACTGCTACTAAATTCAATTCAATTTATAGAAAGTTTAGAAAGTCACAATTTTGGTCACAACCGGCCTAAATGGGTTCCACTCTACTGGACCCCTATTAACGTCTCATGCACCCCCTTGCTTTCGCTGATCTGGACGCCTTGTTGTTGGACTGGACCCCTGGGGATCGATTTAGTCCATTTTGAGAATCATCCATCTATAATTATAGAAAAAGAAATATACGTATACTCGTTATTTCCTCCGAAATACATTTCAAGTTTATCAACACTACTCGTAAAACAGGCGCACTCTCTCCATATATCAAAACCATCGCGAACAAAGATAAGTAATTCAGCTGAAACTTGAATGCATATTTCACTGGTAGAAACTTTTGCCTTCCTCCGTACGTGC